AAGTGGGGACCTGAGCCTGTTCAAACTCCTGACACTGCACAGATATTGCAGGAGGGCCCTGACAGTGCCCATGTGGCCACTAAAGTGGTGGTCAAGGCTGCCCCAACCCTGCTGAAGCAAAGCACCATCTCTGCCATAAAACTATCAGCTCAGGAAGAGGTGCCAGGATGAGCTCTAATGATGCTCTGCGCATGGAGAGCAGCCCTCTGCCAGCAGTATGCCTGCTGAAGAAGAGGGTGTCTAAACACCTTGTTCTTCTGAGGCGGCAGCTTGGACTGGCCCTTGAGGCTGGCAGTCTGGGCGTCGTGCAGCTTGGCCTCCCAGGTTACCCCAGCAGGGACAAAGTCTGGCTAGTGCCTTGTCAGAGTCAAGTCATTGAAGGCAGCTCAAGGCTTTCTTCCCAAATACTGTAAAGAATTAAGATGCCAGCAGATGAGTGCAGCAGCTGCCAGGAGGGGCAGACTGGCACATCCTGGCTGGGGTAGGGGAGAGAGAGATGCCCCATGGGGCTTCAGCCAGCTGTGTATAGCAGCACTGTGCCCAGCACTGGGTGCTGCTCATCTAGGGCTGGGCTAAACCCAAAGCTGCTCTGGTTAAACTTTTTCAAGCCAGCCCAGCCTATCTATATGGATGGGGACTTGGTCTGAGAATTCATGGAAGCCCATAGGAGTAGCATTATGGTGGGTGGGGAGACTGGGTCTGCATTTTGCTGTTCCTCCTGCCCGAGTTTTTTTGCACCCAGGGACTTTCTTCCAATAGACCCTGTATGCAGGAAGGTGATGTTGTGGGCTCACTGTCCCACAGGGTCAGGTGAGATGCAGCCTGACTTCAGGAAGGAGCAACTTGGTGCCATGACATAATGCTCCCTTCCATCTAGGGAAGGGCCTGTTGCAGACTGAGTTTTTTTTCTGTTCCTCCCATTCCAGATTTCCAGCCTCAGCACATCCCTGGTACCCTTCCAACACTGCCAGGCTACATCCTCTTCATGTGCCTGCGGCATGCGGACTACTGCCAGGACGAGCACAGGATCCGCTCACTCCTTGCTGCTGCCATCAGTGGCATCAAGAGAGTCATGAAGGTAGAGAGAGCTGCAAGACATGGGCTGCCCAGCTTGGGAAGGCAAAAAGCGTGGCTGTGGCCCTGCTGTGTGTCCCCACCAGTGCTTCTCCATGTGTGGCTTTCTCCCTAGCTGCCCAGAAGCTCCTTTCTAGACCTGAGATGTGCCCTTCCTGCCTGCCTGCCTGGGGTGGAGGGTGTGCTGGCCCCTGTGTACTCCTACTGATCCTGTATCCATGAAGCTGCTCCATCTTCAGGCTCAGCTGCTCATGGTGCTGGAGCAATCTCCCCTGTCAGGAACATGGTTCACTAGCTGGTCTCTGCCAGCAGCAGCCCAGTGGTGCTTGTGCTGGCTGAGGGTCTTCTGGGAACTTTTGCAGCTTTCCTGGGGCAGTGAATGCCACTGGACCCCAGCCCCAAGCACTGGGAGCCAGGACTCCTGGCTTAAGGCACCAGGCTGCCACCACTGCTGCTGTAGCACTGAGTGGTGAATGCTGGGGTCCAGACTGGGCAGCAGCTGGCTTGAACTGGCCAGCTCAGTGCTCTTTGCACTTGCTACAGTGAGGTGACCTGTCTTCCCAGTCTGCTGTAAGTAGGCATGGAAGGGCTGAGGCAAAAGCTGTGTCCCTCCACACGGCCCTGCTCTAACGGGCCCTGGCTGGAAGAAGCCTGATCAGGCTGTGTTCTCTGGAGCTGGAGCACACGCCCATGCTGCTTCAAATGCATGCAGCCACATGGCTGTCATGGCACTGCTAGAGCCAGTTCTGGGGACATGGGATGGATCCCCTCCTGGGTGACCAGAAGGCTGTAGTGTAGTCCAGGGGCAGCACTGAGCCAGGACACCCAAGTTCTCTTGGCCGTGCTGTAGGCTTCCTGTGACTTTCTGGGGGTGTGATTAATTCTCTGCCTTGCTTTCCTCACTTCTGTGGAGCTGATTTTGGCCTGTGATGCGTTGCATGGACGGTCTGCAGTGACTTGGGGGGGTGGAGGTGGTTTTGGCGTGGCAGGAGACATGGCTTCTACTTCCATGCCAATCTGTCTCAAATGTTGCTAGCTGCAACCCCCTTAAAGCTGACTGGGGCAGGGGATCAGCTGGGGGTGGGGAGGGGTGGGCATGTCCATGCCCATACGTGGTCAGACTCCAAGCACCAGGCCAGGCTGTGGCTACAAGGAGAAGGAGCACTGCTACTTCAGTAGCCCTGAAGGAAAGGAGGAACAGCAAATCCCATTGACAGGGTGGGGAGGGCCCTGGGGGCCAGTCTTTGGGGCTGAAAGGGGAGGGAGGTTCAGCTGAGGGGGAAGAATATGACCGCCCACAGGTGCTTCTTCTGGGGCATTGAACTGGAGTGTCCTCCCAGATGCCCCTGGCAGAGCTGCAGGCTCCTTAAGCCTCGGTCTGTGCTGGTGAAGGAGGGCAGGCTGGCTTGGTGCTATCTGAACAGGCTGCCAGCAGAGACCCAGTGCCTAAGCACCCCAGTCCAGATGGAGCTGGCAACTCTTCTCTAAAAGTAGTCCAAGGCCCCTGGCTAAGGTTTCCCTGGTGCTTTTTCCTGGAGGATTCCAGGTCAGACAGATGCCCTTTTCCCCTTCCCTTCTTGCCCTTTGTTGCCTGTGGGCTCTGCCTCCTACCTTGTGCAGTCCTAGTGCAGGAGGTGTTGGGGTCTAGCACATGTCTGAATCCCCTGCCCCTGGGGACATTTGGCTGCCTTGAACTGAGGGAGGTGCTGGGCTCCTTGCTTCAGGCTCTCTACTTCTGGGCTGGAAGCAGCACTCCCTTCTGGCCCCGGGGCTGAAGGAGGGCTGAGCTGGGAGCAGGCATGCCGAGGGCCGTCACCATGTCTTCTAACAGCTGCCCCACCACCAGTTGCCTGAGGATCCCTTGCATGTGCTCTGACCCCTTGCTTCCTTCCCTCCTGCCTCTAGAAGCACAGCGAGGACTTCGATGTGGTGACGTTCTGGCTCGCCAACACCTGCTGCCTCCTCAACTGCCTGAGGCAGTATGGCAGGGATGAGGTGAGCAGGCCTGGCCCAGCCTAGGCAGCCTGGACCTGGCCTGTGGGTGGGTTCGGGTGCATTGTGGTGGAGGCAGAGCCAGAGCTCAGTACCCCCAAGGGCTGCAGGTTCTCTTTTATCTCATCCCTGTGATGGGTCCCCAGTGCTGGCTGCCATCAGATGCAGGCCCCTGAGCTGCAGCAGAGTTGTGGGCAGCCCTTGCACAGCACAGGGCACCAGCCTCTCCTGAAAGGGCCTGCTGTAGGCTGCTGTATCCAGAGCTGCTCTCTGTAGGCGAGATGCATCTCACCGAGGCCGGAGAAGGGGACTTTATGGTTGTCAGTAGTTCTGGGGAAAGGCTCCTAACCCCAGAACTTCCACCACCACCTGCACTGTGCAGACATTGGGAGCTGCTGGGTGCCTTGGAGGGAGTCAAGATCAGAAGGTGTCACTAGTCTGGAAGAGTAAAGACTCCCAGCTGTCGGGGCCATGGGTGGCAGCTGGGCCAGGTTTTGGGCCTGCAGGGAGGCCATTGCTGTGGAGAGCAGGGGCTGGCTCGGTGTCGCACTTGTCTCTGGATTCCAGCCCCTCTTGCCGTCTCCGCAGAGCTACCGGCAGGTGAACACCCCCAAGCAGAACCAGCACTGCCTGCAGCACTGCAACCCTGCCAGCCACTGCCAGAGCCTGGGTGACTTGGCCATCCAGATCTACCAGCAGCTCATTGGCACGGCAGAAAAGAAACTGAAGCCCATGATTGGTATGTTCTGTGTTCCCTGTGGAGACGGGACCTAGCATGGGCTGCAGGGCAGCACTAGGGCATTGGTACCATAGCACAGCCACCCTGGGGAGGGGAGGAGACATCCCAGCAGATCTGAGGGGCCTTCCTGCCATGGCTAGCAGCTGTTCCCAAGGGCTCTTCCCTGCTACCTAATATCATCAGGGGCTGGGACTTCAGCCCCACATCTCTGCCAGGCTGGGCACAGACTCCAACCCTGTCTCTGTGTCCATGCCCTGCTAGTTGCTGCCATGCTGGAGAGCGAAACCATCCCGGGCTTGTCCTTGGCCAGGCCATCGGGCAGCCGCAGGCCACAGGGGGCCCCTGCCTACACGCTCGACTCCCTGCTCCTGCAGCTCGGTGCCTTCCACAAGGTGCTCAAGAGCCATGACCTGGAGCCTGCGATAGTGCAGCAGGCTGTGCGGCAGCTCCTCTTTCTCATTAGTGGCACAGCCCTCAACTACCTGCTCCTGCGGAGGGACGCGTGCTCGTGGAGCCAGGGTGTCCAGCTCAGGTCAGTCTGTACCTCGGTCCTGGTGAACTCTAGATCTGTGGCTGTTGTGCCTGGGGTAGAGGGAAGCCCTAGTCCTGCCCAACCTACTCTTCACCACCATGGCTTCTCCTGGCCCAGGAGAACCACAGCTGTGTCCCACCTAGGAGTCCCTAACCCAGGCCTTTGCAAAGGCAGGTTTGGTACCTCCAAGTTAAGCCAAGGGGTTGTGGCCTGACCTGGGTATGCCCCTTGTAGCTAAAGTGGTGACCAGGGCACTGTTAGGATCTTGGGTCTCAAATCTGGGCTGTGACTCTCTTGCCCAGCTTTGCCACTGCTACTTAAGCAGCACCCCCAGCAGGTTATTAGTTTAGTGTGGAGGGGAGGGCTCTGAGCAGGAACCTGGTCAAGGCCCTAGCCCCCTGGGCAGCATGGGTTAGGCACTGATTGCCAAGCATCCACAGGCCAGACATGCTGGCATGGCCACTGCTGCTGCCCACCATGTGGGGCTGGGTTGGGGGCTGCAGCACCTCCTTCCCTCAGCACTGTAGCCCCATTCCAGGTACAATGTGAGCCAGCTGGAGGAGTGGCTGCGGGCAGAAGGCCTCCAGCAGAGCGGGGCCACAGCTATCCTGGAGCCCCTCATCCAGGCTGCCCAGCTGCTGCAGGTGAAGAAGATGAGTGAGGAGGATGCTGAAGCCATCTGCTGCCTGTGCACGGCATTGTCTCCCCAGCAGGTACAGCGGGCCACCCTGTGTCTGGCAGGTAGACCTGGCTGGGAAGTCCTAGGGGCTCTGCCCCCTGCAGAGCTCTAGCCTGCCCTGGTGAGGGGGCTCCATGCTGATTAGTAAAGCCCTGGTGGGGAGGGCATCACTAGTGATGGTGCATCAGGTATTGGACATGCCACAGGGAATGCTCCTCTGAGCTCCTAGGCTAGCCTCTGCCTGGCAGAGATGCTGGCTAGTAGTCGCTGGACCCTTGTCTGCCTTGGAGAGCAGCAAAGGTCAGAGGAATGAGCGGTGGTCTTCCTGCACTGGCTCATGCTGTGGCAGGCTGCGGCTTAATGTTGTCCCCAGAACTCCTCATGCGTCTTGCCTTGAAGCAGGACTGCAGCCATCACTCTTGAGATCTCCCAAGAGGTTTGGGAGAGGCTGGAGTAGAGCAAGCTGCAGCTGCTGCCTCCTTAGCCCAGCATCTGGGCTTGAGATGCAGAGAAAGGTCCATAGACTTGCTCTGGCCTAGGTCTAGGGCCTTGCCCCCTGGGGCTGCTTTGTGGTGGAGGTGGATGGGCAGCAACTGCAGTCATAGTCCATCTCCTTATGCAGGTGGTGAAGCTCCTGCGGGCTTACACCCCTGCCCCTGGGCTGGAGGAGCGCGTGAGCCCCCGCTTCATCAGTAGTGTGGAGGTGAGTAACCAGCTGTCTGCAGCAGGCCCTAGCATGAGTACGTGGGGAAAGCTGGGGGTGCCCAGCAGTGTGACTCATGGGAGGGCTGTCTCCACAGAAACACCTGGCAGAGCAAAACCGGAGTGGCCCCTGCCAGCTGCTGGTGGACACGGCTCAGCTCTTCCCTGTACCTCTGCCGTTCTCCCACTCGCCTGTGCACATGGATGAGATCTGCCTTCCTGATGGCCTCAACCTGACATTCCTGTCGCATGTGTGAGCCACGCTGCCAGGGAGGGATCAGTCACGCAATGGCCTGCTGTGTGGACAGGCCAAGCCTTGTGGAGAAGGAGCCAGCTGCTCTGGGACTCACGGGACTGACAATTGAGGCACTAGAAGGCAGGGTCTGGGCACTGCACCCTTCCAAAGGCAGGTCTGTGGGCTCCCAGATGCCCGTATTTTCATGCACTGAGTGCATGCAGCCCCTCTGTACTAATGCTAGATGGGCACTGGAATAGCAAGAGACTCATCTACAGCCTAATGGCCATGGATGCATCTTGGGTAGCTTTGGTTTTTTAGCAATGGGACTGGGAAAATGCTGTGCACAAAGGGGGAAGGAGCCTCGCTCTCTGGCACCTTGTCAGAGCCATGCTGGACTCGGAGGAGAGCCAGGCTTACTCTGGACTGAGTACATGTGGCATCACCGTGTTGCTTCCCAGTGGGCTGGGCCAGGGGGGTGAGCAGAGGGGCCAGGGCTGCAGTGAGCAGCAACTGAGCACAGATGACTCATTTTAGTCAGTTATTTATTTAAAAACCGGTCTGGAATGGTAGGGAGGGCTGGTCCTGGGCACGATGGTGCTGCCCGGCTGGGAGGAGTAGGGAGTCCTTGCTGCTCCCAAGGGAGGGAAGCGGGTGTACCCTTGCAGATGACTCCCTGGGCACTGTGGTCTCCCAGGCTCCAGCAGCTGGTGCCTGCATGAGAGCTGGGACCTCATCCAGTCCCACACGTGTTCGGTGAAATGCCTCTGTGTTTTTTAGAACTGGTCTGAAGTTGTTTATTAATAAAGTCTGATGCTGTGGAGTCTGCCCACCCGTCGGTGCATCATGGCACTTGTGGGCTGAGGTTGGGCATAGGAGCAAGCTGCCTGGCCTCTGGTCTGCGCTAGTGTGGGGCTGGGGGTGATCAACATGGGGTAGTGGGGCCTGTCTACTGCCTAAGCTGAGAGGCCCCTCAACAGGAACATGGCTCGTTGGGGGCCACAGGGGCATGGAGGCCTTGATGCAGAATGCATGGCCCTCTCTGTGCCCTGACCTCCAACCCAGCACCCCTTGGCAGGCAAACGTCCTGCTCTCACTTCTGCAATGGGGTAGAACAGAGGTGGCAGAGCTGGGAACAAACCCAGGTGTCCTGACTCCTCTTGAAGGATTTAGGACAGCATGAGACTTGGGATGATTACCTAGCAAACCTCAGTTTGGGAGGAGCATGCAAGACTCTGGCCCAGGGCTGTGTGCCCTCCAGGGGCACATCTTCCCATCTAGGGATATGCTGTTAAAAGTGTGTGTATTGGCATAAAACTGTTTTGCAGAGTGTGCCCCTAGCCTGGCTGCCCCTAGGAAGGCCTGGGGCACTGAAATGGCTGTGACTAGAAGGGGATTCCAGCAGGGATAGTATTGGCCTTTTTTTAAAGGAAGCCCTGAGCTTGGGGCAGGCAGCCTGGATGAGACAATCCAGTCTTGCTCTTCAGAGAACAGGGCTGAAAAGCTGCAGCCCTAAAGTTTCTGTGGTGGTGTGCATTCCTCCCCCCCACCCCAGCTTCCTTGAGCACCTAAAAGTTCAGGTCTTGGCTGCAGCTAGAGCCAGGGCTGACCACAGGGACTGGGTGTATGGGGCTGCACCCGATTCCCAGCGTCTGTCTGGGCAGAATGCTGTTTCCTGAGGCAGGTTGGGGAAGGGTGCACTCCCTTCATTGTTCATTGGTTTGTTTGGTTTTTTTAATGTCAGTTATAATAATAAAATATTTTTACAGAGCCCAAAAAAGTCAAAATAGTGCAAAACATCTCACTGTCATGCATCCAGGTGTCACCACGGTTTGCTCCAGGTCAGGTATGTACAGACACGGGGCGTGATGGAGGTGCTACGCGAGCAGAAGTGACTTGGTCTGGTTGGTTTCACTCGCATGCCAAACTGTTCTTGGAGGTGGGGGGAGCCACGGGCTGGTCATTCCCGGGGCTGCCTGCCTCGCCGGAGGGCTGAGCTCGTGGCATGGCATGGCGTGCTGCATTTGGTTGAGGTCAGTCTGTGCGTGGCAGATTGGCTCGTGCTGCAGCCCTCTGCATTTGGGGAGGGGAGGGGGTCTGCACGGTGCGGATCAGTGCCCTCAATGTAAACATTGAACTGAAACAGGTGTGAGCGGCAAACACTTTTGGTCCCAGGCAACTACTATAGAAAAAGGAATGGGGGCTGGTGGGGGGGGGGGGGCGTTTGGGTTCACG